ATCACCAGGAGACGGGGAGTTCTAGTCCCGCCTTAGGCATGAAAGTCAGCTGGGTGACTTTGGGCCAATCACCAGGAGACGGTGAATTCTAGTCCTGCCTTAGGCATGAAATCCAGCTGGGTGACTTTGGGCCAATCACCAGGAGACGGTGAGTTCTAGTCCCGCCTTAGGCATGAAAGCCATCTGGGTGACTTTGGGCCAATCACCAGGAGACGGTGAATTCTAGTCCCGCCTTAGGCATGAAAGTCAGCTGGGTGACTTTGGGCCAATCACCAGGAGACGGTGAGTTCTAGTCCCACCTTAGGCATGAAAGACAGCTGGGTGACTTTGCGCCAGTCCCTCCATCTCAACCCAACCCGCCTCCTGGGTAGTTGTTGTGGGTGAAATAGGAGGAGGAAAGATTTTCGCTGCCCCCAGTTATTTCTAAAAATCATAAAGGCTGGATGCAAATTGAATAAATAATAATAATAATGAAGGACACATGTGGTGCATTAGGTGAACATCTGCAAAGACCCTCCTGGCCACAGATGCTGCCCGCTCCAAATTGTACATCTGGCTGGTGATAAGTGTGTAGAGGTCACAGTGTAATGTGGTGCCTTTACCTGATCTCCGAATCAGCAGATCTCTGGTAGGAACTCGGACGGTTCCCAGCACGCAATCTTTGAAAGTTTCCCTTGGAGCTGCAAGAGTAAATAATAGTTGTGATCTCAACTTTTCCAGCATCATAATGGGAATTCATCCGCCTGGACAGTATTGATATTAGAGCAAGGGTTTCCGAACTTGGCTAAAGACTTCAACTCCCAGAATTCCACAATGTCAGGACAGCATTTTGGACGTTCGACAACCGGTCTCAATTTATGCCTGTCTTGCAGTTACATGATTTATGAGGGTTTCGCCAAAAACCGTCATTTATTTCTATTTCTTTGGGCAAAAATGCTCCCATGGCAAACAAGGAGCTGGCTTAACGACTGCACGGTTTGCTTAAACGACCTGCTGCAAAAGGAGGTAGTAAAATTGACGTGGGTCACAGGAGGATTCGTTTTACGACTGTCACAATTTCTGGCCATAATTGGCAGGCTCCGTTATAGCAATAGCAGCAGCGTTTAAGACTTATATCCCACTTTATAGTGCTTCACGGCCCTCTCTAAGCGGTTTACAGAGTCAGCCTCTTTGCCCCCCAACAATCTGGGTCCTCATTTTTACCCACCTCAGAAGGATGGAAGGCTGAGTCAACCTGGAGTCTGCTGGGATCGAACTGCTGACAGTGGGCAGAGTTAGCCTGCTGTACTACATTCTCAACCACTGTGCCAACATGGAAGGAAGGAGGGAGGGAGAGAGGGAGGGAAGGAGAAGGAAGGAGGGAAGGGCAATAGCACTTAGACTTATACACCACTTCCAGTGCTTTTACAGCCCTCTCTAAGCGGTTTGCAGAGTCAGCCTCTTGCCCCCAACAATCTAGGTCCTCATTTTACCAAGCTTGGAAGGACGGAAGGCTGAGTCAACCTTGAGCCTGGTGAGATTTGAACTGCCAAATTGCAATCAGCCGGCAGTCAGCAGACGTAGCCTGCAGTACCGCACTCTGACCACCGCGCCAGTGGTTATGGTTGCAGCTTTGAGGACTATCTGTACTAGTCAGCATAACATTAAGCTGTTCAACTACAGGTAGTCCTCGATTTACAATCATTCGTGTAGTATAGTATAGTTTACTAGACTGTAGAAGAGAGAACAGAACAGAGTAGAGAATAGAACAGAAAAGAATAGGAAGAATAGAACAGAGAACAGAGCAGGAATAGGGAAATAGAATAGAAAAGGAATACAGAATAGAAATGGAATAGAACAGAACAGGAATAGAGAATAGAATAGAATAGAATAGAATAGAATAGAATAGAATAGAATAGAATGAAGAGGGAATAGAATAGAATAGAATGGAATGGAATGGAATGGAATAGATAATAGAATGAAGAGGGAATAGAATAGAATAGAAATAAGAATTAGGAATAGAAAATAGAATAGAATGGAATGGAATGGAATAGATAATAGAATGAAGAGGGAATAGAATATAATAGAAATAAGAATTAGGAATAGAGAATAGAATAGAATAGAATAGAATAGAATAGAATAGAATAGAATAGACTGGAATAGAATAGGAGAGAATAGAATAGAATGGAATGGAATGGAATGGAATGGAATAGATAATAGAATGAAGAGGGAATAGAATAGAAATAAGAAATAGGAATAGAGAATAGAACAGAATAGAATAGAATAGGAGATAATAGAATAGAATAGAAAATAGAATATAGAATAGAATGAAGAGGGAATAGAATAGAATAGAAATAAGAATTAGGAATAGAGAAGAGAAGAGAAGAGAAGAGAAGAGAAGAGAGAACAGGAATGTAGAATAGAAAAGGAATACAGAATAGAAATATAGAATAGAAATACATATGATAGAATAGTAGAGAACAGAACAGAGCAGAACAGGAATACCTCAATCAGGGGAAGGGAAGCTGTTTTGCAAAAGCACCACAACGTTCACAACCGAAGATGCATCGATGAAGCCATGCCCGCCACCCCCAAAAAACAAGCCTTTGGGGGTAGTTGTGCAGTTCGACAACCGGGCCCCGTTCATCTGTGGCACCTGAGTTCAGGGGCTGGTGGTAGAGGTGGAAGACGACCTCCGACTGCTGCAAGAGTTCCCCAAGGCAGCAGGCTTCCCCGCTGCTCCTCTGAACCACCAGACGGCAGGCCACCTCCACGTGATGCTCGAAGGCGGGGCAGAAGGAGCGAGCCACGGTCCGTGTCCTGCGCTGCTCGGCCCCAGGAGAGAAGGGGAGGCGTATCGACACGTAGGTGTTGAGGCCGATTTCGGCACTGTATTGGAGCGGAGGATGCTTCTCGGCTAGGGCCCTAAGCGACAAGGAGAAAATATTCATCTTTGTAGGATTTATTCACCCAGGTTAGTCCTTGACTTACAGCAATTTTGGTAGGGACCGTTCGAAGTGGCAATGGTCGTAAAAAATGAGACTTATTGCTCTATAGAGGAATGATGGAGTCTGTCATCTGCGCCTCTATAACTGTCTGGTTTGCAACCCAGCAGGACAGACACAGACTTCAGAGGGTAGTTAGGTAACATCATCAATGCTAGAAAGGTACGAGCAAGCCCCACTCTCAGTTGCACTGATGTTCTCTAATTGGCTCATGAAACATCTGCCAGAAAACAAGCCAGCTCAGAGAGCACCCAGGACCTCAGAATCATCCTCTTCCTCCCCACTCCACTTTAGAGGACTAATTAAAAGATCTGGAGGGATTTAGCCTACACAAAAAGACAATTGTGGGGGAAGATAGGACAGGAATCGGGAGACTGGCCACATTTGTCTGTCATCCGCACCTCTATCACTGTCTGGTTTGGTTCTGCAACCCAACAGGACAGACACAGATTCCAGAGAGGAGTTAGGACTGCAGAAAAAACAAAGGCTACCAACCTGCCTTCCATGGAGGACCTGCATACTGCATGAGTCAAAAAGAGGGCTGTGAAAATATCTACAGACCCCTCACATCCTGGACATTGACTATTTCAACTCCTTCCCTCAAAACGAGGCTGTAGAGCCCTGCACACCAGAACAACTAGACACAAGGGGAGTTTTTCCCCCCGAAACGCCATCGCTCTGCTAAACAACTCGTTCCCTCAACACTGTCCAACTATTTACAAAGTCTGCACTACTATCACTATTAACCTTTTCATCACTCCTTATCACCCATCCCCTCCCACTTGTGATTGTAGGACTGTAACTTTGTCGCTTGCATCCTTATGATTTATATGGACTGTTTCCTAGTATGATTTGATGGCTTCTTGTACCCTATGACTATTATTAAGTGTTTGTACCTGATGATTCTTGACTCTTGATGAATGTATCTTTTATGGACACTGAGAGCATTTGCACCAAGACAAATTCCTTGTGTGTTCTATCACACTTGGCCAATAAAGAATTCTCTTCTCTTCTCTTCTCTTCTCTTCCCTTCCCTTCCCTTCCCTTCCCTCCTTTCCTTTCCTTTCCTTCCCTTCTCTCCTATCCTTTCCTTTCCTTTCCTTTCCTTTCCTTCCCTTCCCTTCCCTTCTCTCCTATCCTTTCCTTTCCTTTCCTTCCCTTCTCTCCTTTCCTTTCCTTTCCTTTCCTTCCCTTCCCTTCCCTTCCCTTCCCTTCTTTCCTTTCCTTTCCTTTCCTTTCCTTCCCTCCCCTCCTCTCCTTTCCTTTCCTTTCCTATCCTATTCCTATCCTATCCTATCCTATCCTATCCTATCCTACCAGGTGTCTTCCCTTACCTGAGGACTAAGATGGAGCTCTGCTGAACTGCCGATTCTTGGCATGACAGGGTAGGGATGTGTCCCATTGGAGAATATACATCCAGGGGGTGGGTGGTGGAAGACCAGGGTCAACGGGGAAATGAAATGATGTGTCTCAGAGTTGGCTGCAGACATGGTCACCCCTAATAAATCATTTTTTTAAAACTCTGAGAGAGGCGGCTACAGACTCACGATTCGAATGGGGGTGGATTGTGGGAGCCCTGACATCCAGCCGACTCTGAGATGCATCATTCACCTCACCCTTGATCCTGGTCTTCCTCCCACCCCCCGGATGCATAGTCTCCAATGGGACACATCCATAGCCCAGAGTCATCAATGATTACTCTCCAGTAATAATCTTGCGTGCCAGAAGCTTCAGCCGCCTAGAAATCATCAAGGAAAACATTTAAGGAATGCGCTACTTCCCGCTGGCAACTTTAAAGGACCAGAGAAATATTTTTGAGTAGTAAAATATTACTACTATTACTACTACAGAACGGTAGTGAGTCGAGGGCGAGCTGTACGGAGCTTTCGCTTCCTTCTCACCTGGCTGCCGCTTGCAAGCCACACGCTGCGTGGATTTGGACGGAGATGGGAACGGTCTGAGCTTCTAGGATGTTCACAGCGGTTTTCAAGCTGCGTCGGTATTTCACGCTCACTTGGAACAGACCTGGGGAGAAAGGAAGAGCGAGAGAAGAAGGCGGGCTCAACTTTCAGGGGCTAAATACAGCTGGGTCCTCGGCTTACGACCAACCACGGAGCTCAAAATTGATGTGGTTAAGTGAAATGTTTGATCAGTGACTTCTGCCCCTTATTTTGGGGGGGGTGTTTCTCTCCACGGCGGGCTGCGAATGAATCAGGGTGGTGGTTAAGGGAGCAACACGGTCGTTAAGTGAAAACTGGCTTCTCCGTTGACTTTGCTTGCCGTAAGGTCACCAAAGGGGATCACGGGATGCTGCGACCGTCATAAATACCAGGCAGTTGCCGAGCATCTGAATGTCGATCAGGTTACCTTGGGGGTGCTGCGACGGCCGTAAGTGTGAAAAACGGTTATTAAGTCACTTTTCAAATCCCATTGTAACTTTGAAAGGTCACTGAATGAACTGCGATAAGTACAGATTAACCAGGTTGAAAGGGACCCTGGAGGTCTTCTAGTCCAACCCCTTGTATCAAAATGGAGACCGTAGACCCGTGTTGGCAAACCTTTTTCTTGTGATGTGCCAAGACTGCGCGTGCGCGTGACGGCACCCAGAATGCAATGCGCCCTGCCCCCTTACCTGCACTTACCTGGAATGGTATAGTTCAGTGATGGCGAACCTTTTGGTTGTGGTGTGCCGAAAGCGCGCGTGCGTGCCAGCACCCACAACGCAATGTGGCCCCTTCCCCGTGCGTGCGCACACAACGCCCCTACCCCCTTACCTGTATGCGCATGCATGCACGTGCCTCCCAGCTGATTTTCGGCCTGTTTGAGGCGTTTTTCGGCCACCCAGAAGCTCGAGGGAAGCCTCTGCGGCCTTTGGCGGCCGAAAAACAGGCCCGTTTCGGCCCTTCTGATATTTCCGGAAAAAGGCCTCAAATGGGCCGAAAATCAGCCAGGAGGTCAACGCATGCGCAGTGCAGGTAACTTTGGCTGGGGCTCGCCTGCTCACACAAATGGCTCTGCGCGCCACCTGTGGCAGGCAGGCCATAGATTCGCCATCACGGCACTAGACCTAGACCAGTTTAGACAAATGGATGTCCGGTCTCTTCCTGAAAACCTCCAGGGATGGGAGCACTCACAACTTCTAGTGGCAAGTCGTTCCACTGGTTAATTGCTTGATCATTAATCAACGGCCATTCAGATTGTGGGGCCTGCTAATTTTAGAGAACGACCCCCGTTTGACCTTGAAGGAGGCTATCCAAATTTGGATGGTTTTTTTTTTCTTCTTCTTCCTCAGAATGAATAAGGATGGAAGAGATTGTGTTTTTTTTTTAAATCTCTCTTTTAATTTTTTTTAATCTCCATATAAAAGTGAAATGCCCCTCGCACATCATCGCAAAATCTCTAGAACCATAAAACCTACAGACTTGAAATTTGGCCCATATGTTCCTCTTGGCTTCTAGGAGCTCACTAAGAAAATATTTTTCAAAATGACCATCCGAACATTTAGAATATTTCCCGTATTATTATTAACACGCTCTGATGCTCAGGAGTTCTACTCCCCCTCCCCACCTGGAAAGAAATCTGCTCCAAATGCAAAACACAAGCAGAGGAGAGGAGTTTCAGTTTGTTTCACAGCACCAAGCAGCTTTAGTACTGAACAGTTGAGCTAAGCCACACCCAGGCTCCTTGCTGTCTCCTTCTTGCTCACACAGCAAATACTGTTTCAGATTCCAAACAGCCCTCAGTTCTCTCACACACTGACAGGACGCTAAACAAATGAGCACCAATAGATGCAGGTAGGCAGAGGCAGAATTCCCCCCCCCCCCCTTATTTTCCTCCCCCAAAACTAAGCCCGACCACATAGTTTCGTAGCGAAGCACCGGTATCCAGCTAGTTTTTAATATAATCATTCCATCTTCAGTTGAAGAGTGTGTTGTCTGGGTACAAATATCTTTGTTAAACAATAATCAAAATTACAACATCCTTCATTCAATTAATATTGATTCCGCAATCTTTAACATAATAATATCCCACATATTAATTCTACAATGTTGACATAGTAATATTCAAGATACTAGTCATAATACTTACTTATGTCTTTTAACGTATCTTCTCTATTTTGTTTCCCTATTTCTAAATTCAATTTCTATCATCTGCACCTCTATCACTGTCTGGTTTGGTTCTGCAACCCAACAGGGCAGACACAGACTCCAGGGGATAATTAAGACTGCAGAAAAGAACAAGGGCTACCAACCTGCCTTCCACGGAGGACCGTATATACTGCACCCTGAGTCAAAAAGAGGGCCGTGAAAATATCTGCAGACCCCTCACATCCCGGACATAAACTGTTCAACTCCTATGCTATGCTATGCTATGCTATGCTATTCCAATTCCATTCCCATTCCATTCATTATTCTATTCTATTCTATTCTATTCTATTCTATTCTATTCTATTCTATTCTAATTCTATTCTATTCTATTCTTCATTCCATTATTCTATTCTATTGTATTGTATTCTATTCTGTTCTAATCTATTAACTATTTTATTCTATTCTATTCATTTCCTCAACATTGTCCAACTATTTACAAAGTCTGCACTACTATCACTATTAATCTTCTCATCCTTCCTTATTGCCCATCTCCTCCCACTGTATGACTGTGACTTTGTCGCTTGTATCCTCACAATTTATATTGACTGTTTCCTAGTA